AACATACCTATTTCCAAATGGTCCTACCTTATTAAATCAAACCAAAACTTTAATCAGAGTGAACTGAGCTGAATACTTTATTTCTGAAATAAACCGAATATCCATAGATAGAACTATGTGTCCAAAACAAACAACATACGAATACAAGCACCCACTAAATTGGCATATCATAAAAAATGCAACATCAATGTGAGCAGTATGCTTATGAAAGATATTGGATGATAATCCCTCAACAAGTGGCTCCGCGATTATAGAGTTTGTCCTAATTATTTCATAGAAACCTGAACGCTCTGAATTATTTCCTTAACAACCAAAAACTTAATGTCTATTAGCTTTGACATCATCAAGCTCCTATTAGAATACAAGAATACTATTGTCACAGAAAACCCAAAGTGATCTTTCAATCCATCTGAAATATGCAGGTTAGTGACAAAATTTTCTGTCATATTCCATGATCAAAATCAAAATATCTAATGATCTCCAATTGGATTGATTTTTCAGAATGTGATCATGTGATCCTTAGTTCTTTCTAATCGGCTACTTTCCAAATATCCATCCCAGAGTTATTTAAATATATGCCTAGAATTCAACCAAAGAATGCCATATCCAGACGTATGTGAACATTAGCATTCCCAAGTAGTCAAGCACAAAGAATTTTCTGTTTTTTCATTTCTTTAATTTATTCTTGGGGCATTAATTGATACTAAACTTATTTCCTTTAGTAATAGGGGTATCACCTATTTTACATACTACATTCCAAATCCTTTAAAAAATTTATCGATATAGCTCTTTTGTGATAATTCAAATATAAATCGAGAATGATCCCAACGTATTTGTATTCCTGACACAAAACATAGACATCACCAAGATCTTTTATCTCAAAATTTCATGAAAGAAATCTCTTAGTTTTATCCAATAATAATTTATCATTGTAGGCAAATAGTATATCATTGACATTCAATACCAAAAAAAATGCTTACTCCTACTGAACATATACACAATCATCAACTGAATTCATCTCAAAACCAAACAAGATAATTATCTGATAAATTTTGTGATACCATTGACGAGAAACGTGCTTAATCCTATAGATGGATTTCTTTAATTAAGCTATCAAATGTAACTTAAGATCAAATGTCATAATAGTCCTAAAAAAGTCTTTCATAGAAATCGAAGAAAAAATCTTTTTAAAGTCAATACCTTCCTTTTGAGTACAGCCATTTGCAACAAGATGAGCATTATATCTCTCCACATCACTTTTTGAATCCCTCTTAGTTTTAAATATTCATTTACAACCAATGAGATTCGCGCCTTCAGACAATGGAATGAGTTTCCAAATATCATTGTTACTCATGAACTTTATCTCTTTATTCATGTCATCAATCAATTCTTAAGAATTATTCCTTTGCATTGCATGATGAAAGTAGAATAATCAGATATTCTTTCACCAATTCAATACCATCCTTATTTTCTTGAAGAAAGACTATAAAATTATTTGAATTACCTTTCTTTTTTCTTTAGTTGATTTTCTTAATGGTATTTGTTCTTGATGTTATTGAGTTTGTTCCTTCTGTAATAATCTTTTGATTGTGTATGAGAGATTTTATAATATTGTCTTAATTCGAAATTACTTCTTGAACAAGTTTTGAAGCAAGAATTTTTACCTAGTCCAAATAATAGTCAATTGCAATAGAATGAATATTTATATAGTCCTCCTCAAAGACAAAATCTCTAACCTTAACTCCTCGCCAAACTCTACATCCTCAAAGAACTAGGCATTTTTCGTTTCAAAACTTAACTTAATAGTGGGATCTTTAAAATTTGTAACCCCTTAACAGTTGCTTTACTTGAAACTTTATTGTGAATGCAAGTTGAAGTCTTTGGCGATTTAACTTCGAGAGATTCTAGTGTAGTATGGAATGACTAACTTACTCCTTACCATGTTCTTAAATGTTATGTTTCATCTTTTAGCAACACTGTTCATGCTAGGTGAACTGACATGGTGTACCATGGGATAATTCCAATTCCTCTAGAAATTTAGCAAAAGGCCTTGGACATTATTCTTTTGATCCATCATATCTGTCATAGTATTCACCACAGTCAGATCTAATGTTTTTTATTCTTTTATTGAGTTGATTTTCAATCTCAGCCTTATATGCTTTGAACATGTCCAGTATCCAGGACTCCTCAAAGATGAGATATAGGTAGCCATAGTGAGAAATATTCATTTATGAACATAATAAATTACTGTTAATCATTCCAAGAAGTCAAACGAAATGGCCCACGGATATCCGTATAAATTAATTCTAAATTGTTCGAAGTTTTTATTGGTACCTAATCTCCTATTATTTGTTTGTTTTCCCTTAATATAATTAACATAATACTTGAGTCTGAAAAATTGAGGGAATCAAGAATTCATTGACACAAGATTTTTTTCATTCTCTTTTGAGTGATGTGACCTAATCCCTTATGTCATAACGAAACGAAATTCTCATTGGTTAATTTATATTTAATACCACATGAATTCACATGCACAATTTCTTTATAAGAGGCAACACTATTAACCAGATATAGGTTATCATAATCGGATAAAGAACTAGTACCCGCAATATTTGAAGTTAAAAAAAAAAAAGACTAAACTTACTATTTCCAATTGAACAAAAGTAACCGAATTTATTCAATATAGAAATAGAAACCAAAGACGGTACCTCAAATGTCTCTTTCAAATGTAAATAATAACCAATCTTTAATAATAACCTAAAGTCCTAATAGCCTCAACTTTAACTAATTTGCCATCGCTCCACAGAGATGAATCTTTCAACATCAATTGGCTTTTGACAATTTAGGTATCCCCGCATAGACACACTTATATAAATATTGACACTAAAATTTATCTACCAAATGTGTCTTGATATTCAAACTAAATTAACCACAGAACAAAACAAAGTGAAAAGTGTACTTTTTTTATACGCCAAGCGTGGTATTTAGTACAATCTCTCTTCATGTGTTCCATATTTTTACAAAAGTAACAGCTAGATGATCATCATTTTCAAGCTTGCAGTTTCTTCTTAATCGAGTCAGATGCATCTTTCTTATTCTTTAACTTGTCCATAGGAGTACTTGCCAATTGAATACTTTCGGTTCTCTCTTGCTTTAGACTTTTTTCTTGTTGCATATAATATGAAACAAGTTGACTTCTCCTTTGATGACTATAATTGATCTTCAATTAACCGAATTATGTAGGAAGAGAAATAAAAACCATATGCACAGCAAGTTGTTAGACAGCTCAAACTTTAATGCCGTTGGTCTTGAAACAAGGTGAGACACATTCATAATGTACCCCCTATTTTCTTTGGCCTTATACTTTATTGAAATCAAGTTTGCTAGAAGCATACTATTTTCGACCTTATCGTTTTTTCACAAAGAGTTTTTGTAATATGTATTTAAGAAATTTCTTGGCAGTTACCTCATTGAGTAGAGTGCCCCTGAATGTTGCTAGAATTTTGTGCTTAATGATCATAAGACTTGTGCAACTTGAACGATTCCATTTATTTGAGTCCCATTTTATTAGCAGAACCCTTATCCATAAGAGTAGTGGATTATTCAGTCCTTAAAGCAAAGCCGAGATTCATGTAGCAAAGAACGATAGAAACGTTCTCTTTCCAGCCCTTGAACTTTGTTTCAAGCACGTGAATTGAATTAATATTGCAAATATTGCAGATATAGAACCTAAACCTAAATAACATGTTCACATGAAAATCTGTATTGGACAATCAATAATTTCAAATAGTGGTAGACTCCATCACAAGAGACCGAGCACAACATTTTGTGATTTTATGACTTGGACACTTCATGAACAATTCCTTACACATTTCCCAAACTTCTTAAAAGCACTCTGACTCGGATTCCTTGAAAATTGAAATGTCGTGTTTGAGCTTTGCAATGTGAGGTGATAGAACGGTTTCTCATTGATTTTTTGAAAGATGGAATGTTGTTTGAAAGTAGGTTGATGACATTTGGCATCAGCTAAAAGTTTTGACTCCCATAGGATAGACAACGCTCGATTCATTCACAAAAACAAGAGTCATGAAATCCTCAAATAGAAATCTTCCTCATCAATTTCTTTAGTTGTCACCACGGCTCTTCAAGGATTGATCAAAGGTAGATCACCACCACGGCTCTTCTAGGATTGATCAAAGGTAGGTCACCACCACCTGGAGGAATAGTTCTCGTAAAACTATTCCAGGAAGAATAATGCAACTGCCATTGTTTTCTCCATCTACCATCTCATTATGTTGTTATTCATATTCTTCTCTCTGTTTTTATAGTCTTCATCTAGAAGTTCATTCAATTTCTGAATCAAAATAAGCTAGATCAAGATTTTTTGAACAATACATGTGTTGAGAATTATAAATCTTAATTCTATTCTATCAAAAGTAATCAATTTAAAGAAAGAAAATAAACAATTAAGAACACGCAAGTTTTATAGAGGTTTGCTTCAATGTGAGACTACGTCATCTCTCGATGCTACAATAAATTAATATGATGAAAAAAAATTTACAAGAGAAAGTCGCACACCGAACTTCTCTAACATCTCTCTCTAATTAATGATAATAAAAAAAATTTAAGGAGGGCTCCATATTTATAAATAAAATAGGACAAAATTAAATTTAACAAGGACTCCAACTGCTTAATATAATTAGGCTTCACAACTTAACAATTATTAGGACTCTATTTCAAACATAAAATCCTAAACAATCCTTATTGATTTAGACTCCACAACTTAACGACATGCACTGACAAACCAGAAACAATGAAAAGAAACAGAAATCAACATAAGGAAGATACAACTTGTTAAAGCCAAAACTAACTAGTGTAATAATCAAAAGAATCAATCTCAAGTAAAGGTGCTAAAAATTTATTATGAACTTATCCTCTCAGAGAACGGATCATAAATGAGTAATAAAGTGATTATCAATTTTTCTTGGACTAAAACGAAATTTAACAAGATAGTAAAGCATCATCATTCGATTACTAAATATCGCCCCAAATAATCGAGGCTAATTAAAAAGGAGTACAATAAGTCCAGGAAACAGAAACATTCCTGTCATTCTCGGTCGCATAAGAAGCAAGTATATGAGCCACTTTATTCCCATTTATTCATTCAATGGAAAGAAGAAGTGACTGGATTTCCATTATCCATTTCACACAACTCTCTCAAAGAGTACTTTAGATATGTGGAAATCAATAGTTTCTCGAGAGCAATTAGCACCATAGTAAAATGTTTTTGCAACCATTAGAAATGTTTGCTTGACATTCTTATTGGCAACATTGGATTCACAGAAAACCAACTCCACAAGCGCCTGCATGTTCTGTTCAATTTCCCTGCTGCATTTCATGATAATATTTTCTGCGCTGCAATCATCTTTTCCCAGTACCTATTCATCACATAACACATGAGAATTGAATTCAGGAAAAAAAAAAAAGAAAAAAAGAAAAAAAATACTAAAAATTACAAACTTATAAATTTATCAGTGGTCCTATAAGCTTCACCTTTTCATTTTGATACCATTGAAGTTGCTGACAAATTTTGTTGGTGAGTTTGGAAAGACGCTGGTATTCAGGATGCAATATTGACTCTTCGGATACAATATGGCCTGCACAAATGTTTATTATGTTTACTAAGAGCTCTGCTCCTTCGTCGCACTTGACTCCTCTATTTAGTTTCATTAGCCATGCTCCCCACTGTCTCATACAGAATTACAACAGATGTCACAATTAACTAAGCCGTTCTTTTTCTGTGTAAGAATGAAACAATGGGGAAATAATGTGAACTCACAGCATTATGTAATTGGTGGCTGATGTCTCTGCCGAGGATCCCCCATGCATCCGTCGAAGCTTGGTCTAGGATTCTCGATAATATATTGAGAATTCGATGTCCAGTCTTACTGCTGCCGGAAAATAAATATAAAAAATATAATCTACATTTAGATTATATGTCCAAGATGCTTAATGTATGATATTGTAAAAATCAACAAATAAATTTTGGGCTAGTTTACCTTTTTGTTTTGGTAAAGCCATTGATGCTATGTATGAAGTTCGCTAAAAAGGCAATCCTTTCCTCCGAAGAAGTAATTTCGTGATTGAAATAAGATACAATTATCTTACAAATAATTTGAGATTTAGCCCATGCAAGTCTCACATTTGACCTCTCTGGCTCAAATATGGTTGCAGCAGCCAAAAAATAGGCATGAAGAAGGTACTTTCTTGTTATCCCAAGCTCTTGCAAATTGTCATTTGCAAACCATCTGTGCAAGGAATTGAAGAAGGGATTAATGAATTGAGTATAGTTAAATGACAAAGATATTTGGGTTATACAGTTACTCTTCGAATTCATTCCATTCAGTCTGATGTTGTGCCTGGCATTTATTGTAATCTAATTTTGCAAGATCGAGATACACATTGTTACTGATATCTGGCATCCTACAAAGGATAATAGAAGAATGTATAAATTAATTTGGAGTATTCAATTCGAGAATAAAATAGATAGAATGTAAATTATATAATTATAATGTCCCTGTTTAATGTAACTAAAAATTAGATTTTTAGTAAATTTAATAGAAGTTAATAAAATATCTGACTAAAAAGTTGTAGATCTTATGAAATTTGTATTAAATTTTATTCTTGTCCCTGACTTAGATTTTGATAAAAAAATTAAGCTAAATCTAACAAGGACTATATTTTTGAGTGACTTTTTAGTGATAGAATAACAAACAATTTGATATTCTAAACAAATTTATATATAAAAGATGTGACAGTTTAGATACGTATATGATACAAACGTGTTACATGACAATATAATGTGTTTGACGTGAATAATATTTTTCTTGTATTTTACATTTTCCAATTTTTTCAAATTATATTTTTCTAACCATCCGCAAGATTTTCCCCTAGTTACAACAACTCCTAACTTAAAGGCTTAAAGCAGTCCCATCTGCGCTTCTGGGATTCCCTACACGGCCGCACTAATTTACCATGTCCAAGCTTGTACAGAAAAGTGTGAACCAGGCAAAATTCATGTTAATTTTCTGAAAAATAAATTTATTGAGTCGGATTATCCCAAATGAATTAATCAATATATTTAAGATAATTGATTAGTGATGTACTACAGATAAAATTGAAATTAACAAATTTGCAACTCCAATAGAGTTGTGTGTGAGAGTAGTATATACCTGTACAAAGTCTTGCCAATCCATACGTCAGTTGCGCCACCATATTGCTCTATGTAGAATCTAGCCTCCACTCGGGGTAAATCAGCATACCATGGTAATTCAAGCCCTTTTGTTATCTGCATCGTTGTTTATCAAACAAATAATTACTCTTTGACGCTTCCACGGATAAAGTGTAATTTTTTTTATTTTTTTTAACCAACAAAAAGGAGATTAATTTTGTAGTGATGTTTATATAGAAATTGGTTCGGTACCTCATCATAAAGTCCCTCAGATATAATCCATTTATCTACAAGATGATGAGATGCTAGCTTTTCTTGTAAAAAAGAGTAGGAGAATTTCTTGGCTTCTTCAAGAGTAGTTTCTCCAGGGAATTGAACTTGAGAAGCCCTGTAGAGATTGAATATTGGAGTGGCAGATTCAATCATTTGACCCCCAAAACAAGAAAATTTATTGTCGTTCTTGAACTGTGTGAAAACATCTGCAAAAAATGAGACATTCCGTTAAAATTACTTGCTTTTTCATCCATTTGAGATCAGGTCCAGTTCTCTTAAGATATAATTCTTGTTTCTGCTTTGATAATTTTTGTTTTCCGATTTACAGAAAAAGAAAAATGAGAGATGGGTGCGCCTAACCCTACCGGGGTTAACACTAAATCAATGCAACCTTAGAAGCCTGAAACCCATGGATGTATCATCGATATCGGAAAATCCAGAATATCTTGCACTGAAAATTCCTTCGTCTGTCCAAAATCTAAAAGAGCAAATTCCATAATCAGTTACCATAGAGATGCAAGATAATGGTGTATTTAAGCCCATATTTGACAACCATTAAAACAAAACTTTTTGAGAATTTATTTTTAACTGCACATTATCGCAATAAAATATTATGAACATAAACTCAAAATTTTTCTTATTTTTAAAAAACACAGTATCCAAAAAAATCATTATTTCAAAATTCATTTTTTCTTAAAAAAACACGTTTTAATGATTGTCAATAGGGGCTAACTTTTTTTGTTTTCTTATTTTGTTTTTACCTGTAGACATAACTTAAAATGTCAGTGATATGTGAGTCGAAAAAGCGGGAAATTCCCAGGCGCTGTAGTCGATCAGCAGCCCAAAGTCGTGGGAATAAATCAGCTGGATATGAATGTGGCGCTGAAGAATGATAAATTCCGTGAGAGAAAAATAATACTTGAGAAATTTTGGGGGTAACCTAATTCAGGTAAGTAAAAATTGACTTCCGTTTTTACCTCCTCCATTAAATGTTTTCACAATATCATCCAAATATCTGAAACAGTTGTCATCTTTAGTCTCCATCAGCGCAAAGGCCGTGGAGGATGGAGAAGTTAAGAATGAACCCAGTGGAGTTTTCAGCCACAAGAGCTTTTTCCAGTCCAAATTCTGTAATCCTTCCAAGCTAAATAGAAGAGTTGTTGGTACTGTGTGAATCAGGTCTTCAGGTATCCTGTAAGATTAAAAGGCCATATTGTTATGCACGAAATCGTATCTAATGCAAATAAAAAATGCCCGTTGTCTTCAGAGAAAAACAAAATAAATGGGACCTTCGTATTTTATTTCATTCAATAAATCTTGTTTAGTAAAAAGACGAGTATTCCTCGGTCTACATAATTGCAACTCAAAGGCATTACCTTTTCATTTTCCGATCTCTTGCAGCATAAATCTCTTTTATCACAGGAGAATCATAGGGAATATCGTCAATGCCTAACTTTCGGGCTCTGTCAAGAAGAGCAGGAAGTACAATTTCAAATCCACAGGTCATGTTTTCTTCCTCTGCAGTTTCAAGCTTGTGTATATTTTCCTTGATAAATGTTATCCCTGAAATATAATTAAGTCATTCATTAGCCGAATGTCCCAATATTTAGAAGTTTACGTTACAAATAATCCTTGAATAATTTGTACCTTTTTCAATTTTCTGGGAATGAAGGTTCCATGATCTCAGCGCAACTACACATGCTAGTGTATTGACTAGCCGATCATATGCTAAGAAAAAATGTTCATCACCCCACGAGCCATCTGAGAGTTGATTGTCGGCAATCCATTGAAGACTTGATGGGAATTGAGGAAGATCAAGTCCATGGAGATTTCTAACAAGAGCAATCCATGCCGTGTCATAGGGTGAAAGGCTTGTTCGTCCTTCTCCCATAGTGTACAACGTCTTCTTAATGTAATCAATGTCCCACTGTGCCACGCTTACCTTAGGATATCATATGATTATATTACTACACGTGGTATCGTACCAAAAACACAAGTTTCCGCAAAGTCGTAAGACCATGTATAAGGGCTGAAGCCTTCCCCGTGCTGAATGGCAAAAACATGAATAGCATGCAAATTAGGAGAAAGTAAAGATTTTGGGTTTTTAGTCTTATTATCACTCTTTTATATCAGTCCTTCACATGTTGAAGACTAGAGTAATAGTAGTAGCACCAAATGGCAGAAGAAAATTTTAATGATGTTTATGAATTGAAAATTTCATCTCACCTCTACGGCTTCCCCATTCCGGACATCCATTTCGTGTACTTGGGACAAACTTACGTGGTCTGTGATTTGGAAAAAATACATGGTTATTGAAGTAGATATTTGACGGATATTGTTTTGTAAAATTGTTCCATTCAAATAAAACATACCGCGATGGACTACTTTCGGAATGCCTTTCCGATTGACATCACTCCCGGGCAGTGTAAGTCCTACAGAATATTCTACTGTTAATTCGATTATTCAAGTCTGAAGCATGAATGGTTGAAGAAACTATAAGGTTTGCTTATGTCTGAATGTGCATTTATAAGCAGCAGTTCTTATCTATGAGCAGTGCATTGTCTAAAGATAAAGATAAAATAAAAACTCTTTAACATAAACAATTTGATGTAACAGCTGGTGTATATGAGAAGGAAATATCAAGGTTTTGTTAAATTAAATAATAATATTTCTGAGGTGCAATCGAAGGTAACGTGATCAAATCTTGCTATGACTCATTCATGAAAATTGCTCAAATCTCAAGATTAAAAGAAAAAATAGAATCCGGATGATACATTAGAGAGTCAAAATTAGAAAATTTTATAATTTTCATGTATAATTACAAAGAGAAAGATTTTTTTTTTCTTATATATACTATATGTTTACAGATAACTAATAATATAAAGACTTTATTCTTCTTAATTGCTTACAGAAAATAATCAAGAACTTACTACCGAAAAATTCATTTGAAGGGCCTTGATTGGCTACAGAAAATGGTGTTTTGTGAGGAACTGGTGGAAAACTACGAAGCTGCAAAATTGGCAACGCCTTCATTTTCTGACTTTGAAAGGAAAAAGGACAAGTGTAGATGCAATGCAATGATAGAGTTGGGGTTCCATTCCGTCATATTTATAAGCATTATCATGTTGGATAATTTCACTTATTGTAAAAATAAAATCACCAATCAAATCAACCAACCGCCGCCGTTTTTTACTATATATATACACACACACACAATTCAATCAACCAATCGCTGCCGTTTTTTACTATATATACAATCCAATCAACCAATCCCATTTATATTTTAGGGTAATTGGCGAAAAACGTTCCTACCTTTCAGCTTAACTGTGGAAAACGTCCCCATCTTTCATTTTTTGGCATTTTTGCCCTCAAATCAACCTTTCGTTGCGATGAAGGTCCTTCCGTCCAATTGCCATCCATTTTGCCGTTAATTAAAGAGAGAGAACCAATTTTTGTCCAGTCAGCAAGGGTAAAATCGTCTCACCCATTGAACCTCTTATTCCCGCCTTCTATGTAGTTCATATATATAACGGTAGCTGAAAAATGGGTGTAAAAATACTTTAAATTATTACATTAAATAAGGGAAAAAATGTCATATATAGTGGTGAAATCTGACCATCACTGCTACTTTTATGTTGGGTTTCTGGAAAAATATAGTAAGATATATATTGAATGGGTGGTCAATTTATAGAGATGACTACTAGATGTTTATTTCTAGTTTATGCTTATTTTGACATTTGGGTAAATTGAGGAAATTGAGTGAAACTGGGTACTGTGAAGTATGTATCAGTTCTATGTATTAGTTCAATGGTGAATGACCCATTTTGGCTTATTGGTGAAGATGAACGGTCCTTTTCACTTCTTCTGGAAATCAAATGAACCTTGCGCTAATAATCTCTACGTAGTTATAATTTTGGCTTAAAACATCCCTACCTATAAAAAGTTTGGTGAGTAAAGTCCCTATCTTTTAGAAATATTTGCTAATAACATCCCTACATTTTAGAAATATTTGCAAATAACGTCCCTGACTTTTAGAAAAAATTTGGCGAGAGAATTCCCTGTTTTCTTCCATATACCACATGTTGATACACATCAACTCAAAAGTCCCTAAATACACAATTCTATCACAGAATCTGAGACACAATTTATCCACCAATCAATCCAAAACTGAAACAAAAAATCCACTACTTGCTGAAGCAAAAATAACCTAAAACTGAAGCAAAAATAGATACAATTCATTTCAAATGTGCAAAATAATTGTATCTCAAATATGCCGGCTGCTGGTATGCGACCATACGAGAGGAGAATGGAGCAATAATTGTTGAAATAGAAGATAAATGGGAATTTTTGAATAACCGAGAGTGGAATGGGAACCATTCGGGCTGTGAATTGTGAAGAAGGAAATTAAGAAAATGGGGGTTTTCAATTGGTGAGACAGTTTTACCCCTATTTAGTGGAAAAAAAATTGGTTCTCTCTCTTTAATTAACGGCAAAATGGATGGCAATTGGACGGAAGGACCTTTATCGCAACGAAAGGTTGATTTGAGGGCAAAAATGCCAAAAAATGAAAGGTGTGGACGTTTTTCACAATTAAGCTGAAAGGTAGGGACGTTTTTCGCCAATTACCCTATATTTTATTATTAGGTCAAAGGTAACTATATATAAAATCCAATCAACCAATCCCATTTGTATTTTATTATTAGGTCAAAGTTGGTTATATTTTATTATTAGGTCAAATTTGGCTCCCAATTTTGACCTAATAATTTAATATAAACGGGATAGGGCTTTCTTCGTCATGGGCTAGACAAGCCCATATAAGAATCTTCCTCTCTAGCCCATTAAGAAATGACATTATCCTCTAACAATTTAGTTAAGAGTCAATGTTGGCCAGTTGCGCACAAAGTTCAAGCTTTTCTCGGGTCACATCCTTTGTCATCATATCAGCTGGATTTTCCTTTGTACGAAACTTCTCTAAAGTTGATTTTTTACCATCAAAACCACCAGCCGTAACTGCATCTGTAAATACCTCCAAAATTGGTTTTGAACCTCCAAATGTCATGCACATCTTTGAAGTACCTCTGAAGCATCTAAAGATCCATTTCACTACCTCCCAATGATCTTTATTGGGATTAACAAGGAACCCACTGACTATACCAACTGCATGAGCAATGTCTGGCCGTGTATAAACCTTGATATACATCAAACTCCCAACTGCAGAGTAAGGAACATTTGTCATTCTTTCTTTATCTTCCTTCTTAGAATGACAAGTCACCTTACTCAGTTTGAAGTGACTACCAAGTGGTTCCCAATTGGTTTAGCATTATGCATGTTAAACATTTCCAGCACTCTCTCTACATATTTTTCCTATAATAACCATAGCTTTCTGGCTTTCTTATCACGAGGAATATGCATCCCCAAAATTTACCTTGCAGGTCCAAGATCCTTCACGTCAAACAACTTGAACAAATCTACCTTCAAAATTTGAATCAACTGCACATCTTGTCCCATTATCAATTATAAACATATCATCTACATATAGCAAAAGGATAATAAAGTTACCACCATGGAATTCTCTAATATAAACACAATGATCTGCATCTGTCTCAGTATAACCATGACCCATCATAAAGTAATCAAACTACTTATACCACTGTCTTGGAGTTTGTTTCAATCGATACAAACTCTTTTTCAACCTACAAACCATTGTTCTTTCCCTCTTATTTCAAATCCCTCTGATTGAACTGTGTAGATTTCTTCATCCAAATCATTATGGAGAAAGGAGGTCTTAACATGTAACTGCTTAAAGCTCAAGATCCAAACTAGCTACTAAACTCAAAACCACTTAAATGTACGTCATTTTGACAATAAGAGAAAATATCTCATCAAAGTCAATCCATTTCTTCTTATCGAAGCCTTGCACTACCAATCGAGTTTTATATTTCACTAGCTTTCCACCATCTTTCTTCAGCTTGAACATCCATTTATTTTTCAATACCTTTTTATCTTAAAGAAGCTCTACTAGCTCATAAATGTTAATCTTTTGTAAAGAATTCATCTCTTCATGCATAGTCTTTACCCAATTCCGTTTGTCCTTATGAGATTGTACCTCATGAAGATATTCTGGCTCCCTCTCATCAGTTACCAACACATAATCTGATGCTGGATACCTGGTTCAAACTACTTCATCCCAGAATGACTTAGATAATCCAGCTATCCTTAACATACTTCTGACATTTTCTACAATGGTACAATTCATTCTTTCTACCACACTGTTGTGCTGTGGTGTACTAGGAACTGTCTTCTCATATCTAATACCATGTTTTGAGTAGTAATCTTCAAACTCATTCGACATGTATTCCCCTCTGTCATGAGTTCGTTGATACTTCAAAAGCTTTCCACTTTCCTATTCCATCATGACATGAAACTTCTTGAAATATTGAAAAACCTGGTAATTTGATCTCAAAAAGAACTCCCACAACATTAGTAAAGTATCATCAATAAAATTAAGAAAACACTTATTAACACCTAAGGACTCTACCTCAATGGGGCCGCAAATATCAGAATAAATCAAATTCAAAATATTATATTTTCTGTTAGAGAATTTCTGAAATGAAACTCTATGTTATTTACCAAATAAACAATAATCACAAGAATTTAATGATGTACCTTTGGTAAAAGAAATGACGGACTTCCTTCCCAAAATCTGTAATCCTTTTTCGCTCATGTGAGCCAACCGCTTGTGCCACAAGTCTGGTGAAGAAACACTTTCAATTGCATTCACCGCTTCACTGCACACCTTTACCTGAGTTTTGTAAAGTGTGCAACAAACCTTTCCTCCAGCAAATGCCATCGGCCCTTTCATTAGTTTCCATCTTCCGCTGCCAAAATAACTATCATACCCTACTTCGTCAAAGGCATGTATAGATAGTAAATTCAGGCGAATGTCAGAAACATGTTGCTCATTCTTCAATGTCAAAATACGTCCAATATTTGTCTGGAGACAGTTATCACCAATTCCCACAATGCTGGCAAAATTATCATTACCCATCTTCACCCTGCTAAAGCTACCTGATTTGTATAAAGTGAAGAACTCCCGTCTTGGAGTAACAAGATAAGAAGTCGCAGAGTCAATAACCCATTTAACAAATGAATCTACAGCACGACAATACTGCTCATCTTTAGCGAAAAATTGCTATCACTACTTCTTCATCTGAAGCGCTAGCTATTGTATTTTGATCAATCTTCTTCTAATTTTTGTCCTCTTTCACTTTATTTTTTCAAGCCATACAATATTTTTTTATATGACCCTCTTTGTCACAATAAAAATATTTGACATTTTCTCTTGTCTTTGACTGACTTCTGAAATTACAATGTCCCTTAGAACCTCTGCTTTTACTCCTTCCTCTGTTTTCTATAATAAGAGACTGTGCATCATTCTTACCCAAGTCTTTTCTTCATATTTTTTAATTAAACAAACCATCTTTAAATAGAGTAAGTTCAAGCATACCATTCAAAGCAGAGTTACTAAGTGATACCACCAAAGTCTCCTAACTATCAGGCACTGAACTCAAAAGTAATAGTGTTTGCATCTCATCATCTAGCACTATTTTCATTGTGGTCAACTGATTTATCAAGTTTTAGAATTAACTCAAATGCTCAGCAGTTGATTTTCCCTCCTTTAGCTTCAGATTCACAAGCTTTATAATAGCAAAAACTTTATTTTGAGCAATCTTCCTCTCATAGAGACTCTCCAATTTTTCCCAAAAACTATGGGCATCTGTCTCTTGAGATATATGATTGAACACATTAAGGTCAACCTACTGTCTAATATATCCAATGGCTTTCCTATTCATCTTCTTCCTGTCACTATCACTCATATTGCTTGGTTTAGCAACATCACCTTCAATAGGTTCATATAAATCCGTACAATAAAGGATATCCTCCATCATAAGCTTCCAAATAGAATAATTTGAAGTCGATAATTTAATCATAGTGCCAGAAGTATTCTCCATTTATTCCCACAATAAATCACACCCACACAACCTGAGCTCTGATACTACT